ATTTACCCATGCGGAAGTCTGGCGTTCGCCGAGTTGTTCCAAAGCACAAAAACAACATTTTTCTGGTTTGAATGGCCATGTGAACGGGCAAAATTTGGAATAAAATCAATTAAATCTGCACTTACCTCTTATAGTACTCGGCATCGTATCATATCTTCGTCACTCCAAGCAATTCTCCTCCCAACGTCTCGGCAATCCAGAGAGAAAACGCAAACCGATAGCTTATGATGATGGATTATTTGTACTTGATTCTTACACTATTCTTCCCTTAAGCCCGTATTTAATTTAAAGTGCGGATAAGATTAAGATTGCCGCTATTTCAGACAGAATGCACGTTCGCGTGCTTGCTTATCACCGCTAGTCCTTTTTCTTTTTGGAGCTGCCAAAAGTTCCTCGAAACATGTTGGTGGACCGATGTGGTCTACTGAGCCCAGCGAAAAACCATTGTGGGTGACACTGGAAAAAACGAACAAAACTGTTAGTTTACGTGCAAATTCTATTCCAAAAAAAAACCTCTTTAAATTAAGACGGGAAAAGTTTTCCCCAAAGTCATGCAGTGATATTATTCATGTATGGACGTTTACGTCTTGGAAGTCAACAATGCTAAGCAGCCGATATCCATAAATCTCTCAGGGCCTGATGGCTTTTAGGTAAGGCTATTGAACCCCACCACAATAACCTGTCAGCAAATAGATCTGTGATTGCATGATCGATGGCACTCTTAATAATCGTGAATATTCCTAGATTTCGCCTTTGAGATCGTGGATCGCATAAGGCTAGTTTAAATATTGAATAATCACCTGGATGTTGAATGGTATTTATACCAGAGCAAAGAAGTCGCCTTTTGAATTGGAAAAAACCCAACAATACAGTAAACGAGTCTCGGATTATGGCCACTGTTTAATAATTCAAGGGGATTTTATTTTCACGGATTATCCAGCATGAAATGCCCTTAATTGCACGAAACTGCCCTCCAGACGGCGAATTTATGGTATTTACAGCTAAAATGGGTATAATCGCACGTCTTAATAGCAAAAGACACTCACAAAATTCACGCAACCCCAAAGGTCAACGTCTCTATGAACTCTGGAAATTGGCAAATCGACCTCTTGAAAAGAAATGGTTTCATTGAAAAACTTCGGTCTTTCGGTTTGGAACTTAGAGAGTTTTGAAATTTTCCACTGTCGTTGTTCATTGAACCTCATTTTTCTGGGCCATTTTATTCAGGATTTCCATTCTCTCCGAAACAACTCCAGGTTTAATTTAGCGTCAATAGAAGCCTCCTTAAAACCATTCGTTCAAACCTCTTCCCACGAATTTTCGTATAATTTACATTTAATTCGTTCATTTCCGCATGTGCTTTCCACAGCAATTACAAAAACTTTTACGTAATCTGGCCATATCAGCAAGAAAAATTGCTGGATCGTCTTGATTAGTCATTTAATTGTCGGAATTTGATCGCGAAATGGACAAGTTGCACTTATTGCATCAAAGAAGCACTTTTCTTTCTATGAAATTGATCAGTTTTTTGGATGTTTAGGTCGTGCTGAATAAGAGTTTTTTGAGCGACTTCAGAGGTGGTTCACACATTTGAAGTTTCAAGCCACTTGTGCTCAGGAAACGCTAGAAGAAATTTCTGTTCTACCACGACATGAACGCCCGTAAATTTCATCAGTTTCAAGCAACTGCAGTGGAAGCTTGACTGATTTTTTCGTTTTTTTTTGGTCTACAGCTTCCAATCATTCGAAGATGGACCTGGATTGGTTTTAAGCTTCAAACGAGCGAGAAGTCAAAAATACTGCAACGAAGATTATTCGCCTCTAACTTTGCGAAAAAACTATTCTTCGCATCCTCAAGTTGTCTTCAACGAAATTTTTGGAAGCGGGGGGTCAGGCACGTTCAGACTTCCATTCCATTGAAGCAGAATCTTAGCACTTTTTAAAGCCACCATTGAGGACAAAATTTGAACTCTCAATGACGATTTTGCGTGCACTTCTAGACCGACCGCGAGCGTTCGACACCATCAATCGTGCAATTTTCCTCAAACCCGCAAGTAAACGAAAAGTCTGGGGAAATTGTCAAAATCTGTTAGGGACTGGAATTGCGAAAAACTTCTAGTGCTGATTGAATTTTCAAAATAAAACCAACTATTCACCTTAACTAAAAACAATTAATAATGAAGTCAAAGGTCTGACCTTCTGTATAAAAACATTGCAAAAAATGGTAAAGATCTGTGAGTGATTGAAAGTGCAGTGTCAAAGGCCTTAGCCAGATCCTCACTCCCCTAGTGGCTGATGCCACAACGTGAAAAGTGGAAGATCTGAAAGCAGGAAAACCATGCAGGATTATGAAAAAGCTCAACTCACCTCCTGCAAAATGTACCGGTAATCCAAGCAATAGGCAAAAAACAGAACCACCACAAAGATGAAATCACCAGGCGTTCAATGCCCGAAAAGGCCCGGGAATCGCGGGATTCCCAGGACGTGAGTTCGGAAAACGCGCCGATTATAAAGGGGTGGTTTCCTACCAGGGCCGGGGTGGTTTTTCGCACGTCGGACCTTTCTGACCACCAAACAGCACCTGTTGTTGCGCGCTAAGTCCGTGACTGAGTCGGCAGGCCAGGTGAGGAGCCACCAGGGGTCATTGGCATACCGTCGCCTAACGGGTCCTTCTGAGTTAGCGGTACAAGAGCAGTTAGCTTAGCAGGACCGTGTGTATGGGCTGCGACGTCACAGTATCGTCTCTTCCTATAGCCGAAGAGCCGTTTTGCGCTGCAACGCGGATGCTGCGACCGACCAACGGTTGTTTCCTGCTGCTGCTGCTGTTGTTGCTCCTGCTGCTCCTTCCCAGTAATGTCACAACAACTACCAAGCACTATTCCCAGATACGGACTTATCGGTCAATTCATTGCCGCTTAGGACATCGGCAATTATCTGATTTGATACGCAATTGATGCGGCAGGATGTTCAAAAGATGGGCAAAAAGTCCTAATCCTCAGTAATTTCCACAGCGGTTCCACTGGCTGACTTTGTGCCGAAATCTTCCGATAATCCCCTAACTGAACTTGAGTCAATTTCAATTAGCTTCGCAGCTGATCTTCCAATCAAGAATCTTCCGCACATCGTAGAATCAGAGGCTTATCTGTTTTCGGCCTGCCTGTGTAATACTGTGTCTTAAGACACTAGTGTGTTAATGCCGCTCTGTATCGCGGCACTTTCGACAACACTTAACGTTTAATGTCATTCAAGATGACAAACTTCGGATTGCAGTTCGTGAAGGCCGCGTGGGCTGAAATGATGTGAAATTTAAGACATTTTGAGGAAATTTTTATTTAAAGAAAATGTCGGCCAAAAATCAAAATTTCACATTCGTGTTTTTTAAGCTCAATCGATTCCTTTTGACGTAAGAAGTTCAGAAAGATGCATTTATAAAGTGTTTGGGTCAATAACAAGGAAGAAATGGTCGGTTAAAGATCGTAAACGCTCAAAAACCGCTTAAAATGTCCCGAAAATGTCTATTATTTCGGATGTAAAACTTCTACCATGGTTTTTAATGAGTTCGATGCATTGCTAGCCTCCGTGAGCTGAAAATGATGTAAAATTTAAGACATTTTGAGAACATTTTCATTTCTTCAAAAAATCAACCCYCACCCTYRGAAAAATTTCGGCCAAAAATYAAAATTTCACATTCGTGTTTTTTGAGCTCAATCGATTCCTTTYGACGTAAGAAGGTTACAAATATGCATTTATAAAGTGTTTGGGTCAATAACAAGGAAGAAATCGTTGGTTAAAGATCGTGAACGCTCCAAAACCGCTTAAAATGTCCCGAAAATGTCTATTATATCGGATCTAAAACTTCTACCATGTTTTTTAATTAGTTCGATGCATTGCTCGCCTCCGTGAGCTGAAAATGATGTAAAATTTAAGACGTTTTGAGAAAATTTTCATTTTTTCAAAAAATCGACCCCCACCCTTGGAAAAATTTCGGCCAAAAATAAAAATTCCACATTCGTGTTTTTTAAGCTCAATCGATTCCTTTCGACGTAAGAAGGTCACAAATATGCATTTATAAAGTGTTTGGGTCAATAATACGGTATAAAATGGTCGGTGAAAGATCGTGAACGCTCAAAAACCGCTTAAAATGTCCGAAAAATGTCTATTATTTCGGATCTGAAACTGCTAGCAAGTTTTTCAATGAGTTCGATGCATTCCTCGCTTCAGTGAGTTGAAAATGAAGTAAAATTTAAAACATTTTGATTTAATTTTTTCAAAAAATCGATTCCCACCCTTGGAAAAATCTCGGCCAGAAAATCGAAATTTCACATGCGTGTTTTTTGAGCTCAATCGGTTCCTTTCGACGTAAGAAGGCCACAAATAGGAATTTATTCGGTCGCCCGCGGTCCTCCATTTATCCATTAAATGATGATTTTTCAAAATTAAATGGTTCAGCCGCAATGTGCCGTGTCGTATAATCTGAATAACCCTGTATACTTCGTTCCATTTCCCTCGCAATTCGCTGCTTTGAACAAACATTTTTTCCAGCATACGAATTGAATCTACTCGATTCTAATCACAGACATTTGTGCAAATAATTGAAAATCCATCGAAGCCCAGAATCTAAAATTGCTGTTTACTCCAATTACTCTAATAACTATATCGGCTGCTTAGCATTTTTAGCTCCAGGCCCATAACTCGATCATTTACATTCCAAAGGAATTTCACACTAATGGAGCACACTCTGATAACTCGGAATCCCACTGTCTTTGCCAACTAACTACTGAATTTATTGACCATAACATTGAATTACCGAGACATTGAATGCCGTTCGCCAATGTATCTTTATATTATCCCGCTCGTTGTGAACGTGCAGACATTGTCGGATGGCCATTGCGGAATTTCTCATTCGGAAGAACCGTTGGCTGAAGGCATTCATGTTTGATCAGGAAAATCAGTTTAACTGAAACACCCTGTATGTAAAAAAACCAGTGTCCACCTGCCCACTTGCCCTGACGCAACCACGACAGTGTCACCTGCACGAATTGCCAAACAAACCTCAAGTGGAAAAATGATGAAATTACGCAAACACTTCCACAAATCCCTAGCGATTCTACAAACGCCCCTCAGAAAGCGTTATTCGACTCAGCGACTGAGCGCCAAATGCATCAAAGGAAGTGGAGATGTAAGAAACCAGCAGATTCAACCCTCAATACTTACTCAATACAACTCCTGTCGTAGATATCGCAAAAATATCCCATAGTAAATCACCAATACGATTGCATAGTCGTAGGCGCCGGAGGAGCCGGATTGAGAGCCTCCTTTGGCCTAGTTATGAACGGCTTCAAGACCGCCTGCATCACCAAGCTCTTCCCTACCAGATCGCACACTGTGGCGGCCCAAGGAGGGATCAACGCCGCCCTCAGCAACCTTGAGGACGATTACTGGGTGTGGCACCACTACGACACAGTCAAAGGCAGGGCCTGCACAAGGCCAGTCTAAGAACACTGTTAAAGAGGCTTCATTTGGCAGGATCTGATTGGATTGGGGACCAAAACGCCATCCACTACATGACCAAGGAGGCCCCAACCTGCATCCAAGAGCTGGAGAATTGGGGAATGCCATTTTCCCGAACGAAAGATGGGCGCATCTACCAGCGGGCGTTTGGGGGCCAAACGCTGCAGTTTGGAGATGGGGGCCAAGCTCATCGCACATGTGCTGCAGCGGACGCCACTGGCCACTACATGCTGCATACGCTCTATGGACAAGCCTGCAGGCATAACGTGGAGTTTTTCATCGAATACTTCGTGCTGGATCTGCTGATGGCTGATGATGAATGCCGCGGGGTTCTGGCCTGGTACCTACCCAGCATTTCTCTCACCGGTTATTTGGACGGGAAAACTTGCAGGAGCTTAGAGGATGGCTGCATCCACAAATTCTGGGCGAAAAACACCGTGATTGCCACCGGCGGGTTTGAACGCGCTTACTTTTCCTGCACAGCTGCTCACACCTCCACTGGGGATGGAACCGCCATGATCACTCGCACTGGGCTTCCGCTTCAAGACTTGGAGTTCATCCAGTTCCACCCGACAGGGGTTTATGGGGTGGGCGTCTTGATAACAGAAGGCGCGAGAGGCGAAGGCGGATTCCTCACCAACGGCCAAGGGGAGAGATTCATGGAGCGCCATGCGCCTAAGGCCAAAGACTTGGCCTCCAGGGACGTGGTTGCCAGAGCGATGACTGTGGAAATCATGGAAGGAAGAGGTAGGATCCACCTCCCCACTCACCTCATGTAAAAACCAAAACCCACTGCAGGCTGCGGCCCTAACAAGGACTACATCAACCTCCAGCTGCACCACCTCCCGAAGGAAACCATCGAGAGGCAGCTGCCGGGGATACGACAATCAGCCTTCACCTTCGCGGCTGTTGATATCCTACGGGAACCCATTCCGGTGATACCAACAGTCCATTACACAATGGGAGGCATCCCCACCAACTACAAAGGGCAGGTGATGACTCAAGTCGCTCCAGGCAAGGACCAATTGGTCAGAGGGCTCTACGCGTGTGGGGAGTGTTCTTCTGTGGGAGTTCATGGCGCAAACAGGTCAACCATCAATCATCTCCTGGGAGTAGGTAACATCTTCATTGAGCTTGCAGATTGGGGGCGAATTCCCTGCTGGAAACTGTCGTGTTTGGAAAAGCTGTAGCTGAAAGCATCACCGCAACAGACTGTCCGGGCGCCGCAGTGCGAACGGACGATTCCATCGGAGGAGAAGCTTTGCAGAACTTCGATCGGATGCGGTACAGCAAAGGCAAGCACACGGTTGGCCAGTTGAGGTAGCAACCAAAACACTTTCCTGGATCACTCCTGTGCATCCGCACAATCTGCTTCAGGCTGCAGCTCCAAAAGCATATGCAAAAATACGCGGCTGTCTTCAGAACAGAGGCCACTTTAAGCGAAGGCGTGTGCAGAGTGGCGGAGCTGTACAAGGAAATTGATAACGTGCAAATGCACGACCATGGCATGATTTGGAACACGAACCTGGTGGAATATTGCGAGCTGAAGAATCTGTTCATCAACGCTCTGCAGGCGATAATGGCCATGGAGGCAAGGACAGAATCTCGGGGGGCGCATGCAAGGGACGACTGCAAAATCAGGGTTGATGAGTACGATTACTCCAAGCCGGTGAGGAACCAGAGGAAAAGGCCCTTTGAGGAGCACTGGAGGAAGCACACGCTGAGCTGGATGGACGCTGAAACCGGAGAAGTTGAAGAGTGATGGGGGGTCTTGGTTGGCATTTTTAATGGACGTGTTTTTTCCAGGTTTGCCTGACTTATCGCGCTGTAAACGATTGCACCTTAGATGAAAGGGAATGCCCATCAATTCCCCCGAAGATTAGGGCTTATTAACCAACAACGTTGAGTTTTATTATTATTATCGAAACATACTTTCCTGACTGTTTCAATTCCAAATCAAAATCAATTCCTGGGCTTCAGTCATTTATTGTCTATTTATCAATTAAAATACGTTTCGGTGTTTTCCACCATCATCATTTTCTATGTGTAGCGTTGTTGCTACTTTAAGCCTTGGCATGCATTTTTTGCCGAGCAAGAAAATGCATGCCAAGGCTTAAAGTAGCAACAACGCTACACATAGAAACTGATGATGGTGGAAAACACCGAAACGTATTTTAATTGATAAATAGA